ACCTTCCTTCCGAGGAGTGGCTGGTGGGTTTGAACCGCCAGCCTTCTGGTGAGCAGTCAAGTGCCTTAGGCACTATGCTACCAGAGCTCCTACAATTGAGCATAAGTGCCTGAAATAAAGAATATCCAAAGCTTTTGCTGCCTTATACATCCAAGTTACTCTTTCTCTGGCTCGCAGTGGAACTTGAAAGATGGGCATTAACAACTCCAAGTCATAGACTTGAAAGATGTTAAAATTGGCCTCTTCATATGTGTGATATCTGCAGCAAAGCAAAACTATTCTGCAAGTGTATCTTTCAAATATACTTCCAAAAAATTTTCCATTAAGAAAAAGATATTAAAATGAGATTGATTTTTGAAGATCATCTGCTCATTAGGGAGCATCTTATTAGCCGTTAAAAATAATACCAGTAAAGATTTTTCATAGTTCACTTTTAACTACTCCATTCCCCTCAATGAGATCATAGCTTCTTTTCCTAATTTACAGGTTTTGTTGTTGTTATGTGCCGTCCAGTCAGACCTGACTCATAGCGACCCCTCCTTGGGTTTCCAAGGCGGTATCACTACGGAAGTAGATTGCCTAACCTTACTTCTGAGGAGTGGCTGGTGGGTTTGAACTGCCAACCTTCTGGTTAGCAGTCAAGTGCCTTAGGCACTACGCTACCAGAGCTCCTAATACACAGGTTTTAGGAACATGTTTTACCAATGGGAAAACTGACCTGAAAGTCTAAGCAGCTTGCCTATGGCCCTGTCAGTAGTTAGTGGTAGAGCCAGGATTGGAACCCAGGACTGTCTGAATCTGGACTTGTGCCCTTGGTACCCTTTAAAGCTCTGTAGCATGGTGAAGAATTCATTTTTCTCCTTTCGCCATTGCTCTGGGCTGTAAGCCTAGAAATACAGATGCCTCTGTAGATAACCCGTTACCAACCTCCAGTGCTCCTGGCTCTATCACTAGTTTATTGAGGATAATACAGTGCAAATTCTCATATACATATTTAGATACGGTGTTTGTAAAAGTTAGTTAAGACATTTCACGGCAATAAAAAAAAGTCTAGCCATCATTGAAAAACAAGGATTTGGGGTTTTTACACTAGGATTAGAGTACATAATGGTGTTTATCCCAGATGCCCTTGTTATGTTTGTTTTAAGTTATGTTGTACCATAAAGTTTCATACTTAATAATTTTTTTATCTCATTAATTCTTTCTTCTAGGTACTTTTGGACGTATTTTCCATGGAGTTTTAATAGATGAAAAAGATCCAAATAAAGAAAAACAGGCATTTGTGAAAACAGTTAAAGGTAGGATTTTTTTTCATGCTTTCTCCATAATACTGGGGTGGCTTATGCCAGCAAGATCCTGTCTCAGATTCTCAGTGTTTGCCAGGCGCTTAAACCAGACCACTCTGATTTAACTAATTCTTGAGAAGATTTGGGTTGTTCTTGCTAGATGTGGAAAATGAAAGTCTGATAAATTAAGACATTTAGCATTTAGTAGGTATTACCCAGGCTTCTAGTTCAATTTTATATCCATTTGGCTTCATGGTTGCTATGTCTAATTTTGTTTTTCCTAAGTTAAAATTCTTTGATACCATTTTTTTCTCCCCTTAAGAAACATTGTTACTAGTCCCCCCCTCCCCCAGTACTGAGGAGAATAAAATAAAAATTACTTCAGGTCCACAGTACCTTATGTGGATAGACATTGTTTGCTTCCACCCACCCTTTTTTGTTCTTAAATATAATGTTGCAGGAAACATCCTTGTGTATGTGTGTGTGTGTGTGTGTGTACATATATGTATGTGTGTATACTTATTATATATTTATATTCTTTGATATACTTTGTATATCCATAGTTGTAAATGCTGGCCCACTTAAAATATTGATAAATAGTGCCATAGTCTCTAAAAGGTAGCACCAATTTATATTTTAACATAGTCTCATTTTGAGCCATCTTTTGAAACTTAATAACTTAATTTTTCATTTATTAAGTTATATACATTAGAGAGTTTCTATCAAAATATGCTAGAATGTTTTTCGTATCTGGCTTATTCTCTAGTATTGGTCAATGAGCAAGCGCTTTTAAAATATTTGACTGCTAATCAGCAGGTCAGTGGTTCAAACCCAGCAGCCCGCTCCATGGAAGGAAGTTGTGGGGGTGATCTACTTCCATAAAGATTGAAAGCTTCAAAAACCCAGTGGGGGTCACTATGAGTCAGAACCGACTTGATGGCAGTGAGTTTGTTTTTTTTGATCTAGTGGTGTAGTGGATAAGGCATTTCTCTGTTAACTAAAATGTCAGTGGTTCAAACTCACCCACTGCTCTGTGGAAGAAAGATGAGGTAGTCTGCTTCCATAAAGATGTATAGCTTTGGAAACCCAGTGGGGCTCACTATAAGTTGGAATTAACTCAACAGCAGTAGTTTTTTTTGGGGGGGGAAGGTGTTTCTAAATTAGATAAAATCATAGAGAGTATGAAAGGAGGGGTCACTATGAGTCAGGTCTAACTCAATGGCACATAACAACAACAACAACATGTATGATTTATATTTAGTCTTTGTAGAATTGTATGAATCTAACAACAACAAAAAAAACACTTTGGGACTTAATTTCTGTTTAGCAAAATTACCTGCTGAAGGATACAGTAAATACACACAAACACACACACACAGAGACACACACAACACCCCTTTTCTCTTTTCTAGACAAATGGTTTAACTTCTGTATCTTTCAGTATGCACTTTATTCACTCTTAACCTTGCCAACCACAAAACACTCTTAAAAGCTAATATTAAGCTAGGTCCTACTAGCTTTTCTGACCAGTCTTGAAGGATATTTTCATATTATTTTTTGTAAAGATAAAATTTGAACCATGTTTAATAAAACAATAAATTGTCTTTTGCTCCTTTCCTTCTCTGTTTTTTTAAAGGAAACGTTTCCAATTAATTCTGTTATTTCTAGAGTTGTAAATATTCTGTGAACAATTTAGAATGAGCTGTTATTTAATTTGTTCTGAATGAATCTTGACTTAACAACAGAAGTTTCTGTACAGATTTGGGTTGATTTCGGTTGGAAGGAGAGGAAAAAAGGAAATACTATTGATAAGAAAACACAATGTGAATACTAGGACTGTTTCACAAGATAAGATTTCTCTTTCCGTATATACTTGAATATGTAGTCACTTAGTTGTTTCCACGCCTTACTACGGTAATTGTAATGTTCTCTTTGAGCTGGACGGAAACAAGAGAAAGCACAGTGAGTCCTTAGGTAAGGTATGGTTATGGTTTGCATGGAAGACCAAGAGGAAGTACACTGACTACACTGTAATGTACTTCCCTCAATATTGTTAAAGAGATTACGCAATATGATTGAGTAGTTCTGAGATTTATTCTTTTGGAAAGTTATTTGTATATTTTTAAAATAGAGGCTATATAGAGCCAACAGCATTCTTTGATGAACCTGTATGCCTTGTTACACACTACGAGATAAGAAGTGCAGTTTAAAAACGCAAAAAAGTTCTTTTAGAAAAATTACTGTCTTTTGCCTTTAAACATAGCAGGGAATTCAAATTTGACTTTTAAAAATTTCATGATTTTGTTGTTGTTGTTGTTGTTGTTATGTGCCGTCGAGTCAGCCCTGACTCATAGCGACCCCTCCTTGGGTTTCTGAGGCAGTATCACTACGGAAGTAGGATTGCCCAACCTTCCTTCCGAGGAGTGGCTGATGGGTTTGAACAGCCAGCCATCTGGTGAGCAGTCAAGTGCCTTAGCCACTATGCTACCAGAGCTCCCTTTGATTTTGTATACGTACTTAATGGATATTTCTTATAAATTTCCAGAGTCTGACATTAGAAATCTATATTTCATACTTTAAAAATATCATGAAATTGAATTTCATAAAATAAATGAATTAGTTTGGGTTTATTTATATTAAGTCCTTATTTTCCTTTATATATGCTAAACTTTGTGCAGTTTTAGAAATTTGCAAGTGTTTGGTTTTTAAATCATTTGTGCATACTTGGAATTTTAGAATGTAAATTATTTAATAGTATCTTTTCCAACTGTATGCATGTTGCAAGTAGACCTTTCACTATGTACAATTAAAAGACTAGGACTAGATGAGGAATGGAACCCAGGAAAGTGATTTTTTTCTTACTGTTTTTTCTCCAATTGAAGTTTTCATAGATCATCATCTAGTTGAGGTATCCCTTTTTTAATATAAAATGCTTATCAAAGACTTGAATATATTATATAAAACATAATGTATCCTGAAATTACCTTTTATTATATGTTGATTTTACTTCCAGTTGTGGGGAAGACACTCTTGTTAACCAGCTGGGGACTTTTAAATATTGCTAGTTCCCACTGCTGAAAGAGATCCTAGCAGCTCTCTAGCCGTAATTTTACTCAAATCATTTAGATTACAGAGAGTAATAAAGGCACATTCTGCTATTTATTAAATGATCCCACATTTTAAACAAACAAGTTTTAGACAACTCTGGTAACGTAGTGCCTAAGGCACTTGACTGTTAGCGAGAAGGCTGGCGGTTCAAACCCACTAGCCACTCCTTGGAAGGAAGGTTGAGCAATCTACTTCCATAGTGATACGGCCTTGGAAACCCAAGGAGGGGTCGCTATGAGTCGGGGCCAACTCCACGGCACATAACAGCAGCAACAGCAACAACAGAGTGTATTCTAGCAGACATTGATGTGCAGCACCTTTTTGAAAGAAGTCCAAAATTCCTTGGTGTTTTGTCCTCCCATTTTACAAAGGTCTTAAATAAAAAAAGTCTGAAAAGGAGACTCTAAGAGCAAGTTTGGGAGAGTGAGTAAAGGAAGGAGTGAGATTCCATTGGTTAGACTTAGAAGTAAATTTGAGATTTCTCTGCTTTAAGTGTGCCGCTTTTAACGAGCACGTAGTGTGTGATATGCAGTCATGGTGCCAGAGTTCAGTGTGCTGGGTTTTCTTGTCATTTCAGCATTTTACTAGGTCTGAGCCTGGGATGTAGATCTTGGCTTTGCCAATTTTTATATCTTTTCCTCTCTCTTAAGGCATTGGTCAAGCTTTGTAAGTTATTACCACTATTTTTCCTGTGAACATCAATGTTACTGTTAACTGGCTGCTATTCGGAATGCTTTTAAGGATATATTACATTCAATTTTGTTTTTAATATCTAAAAACATTTTCAAAACATTGAAATTCATGTTTGATTTTATAATGAAAATTAATGGGAATATACTATTCACTTAATGGAAATATTCCTTTCAAACAATGGAGCAATTCCTTTATACTAGTAAAATAGTAGTCCCTATATAGTGATGAATTGTTATGAATTTGTGCAAATATTTGATAATTTATACATTCTTTTGGAAGTAAAAATTAAAGATACTGGTAAATATTATTTTGTTTCAAAACATCAAACTAAAAGCCAATTTTAGTTGCCTTTTTTTTTAGTGTTCTTTTTTCCCTTATTTTTAACTACAAAGAGGTAAGAACAAAACAATAAATGGGCTATAATATCCAGTCAAAACCCTTGTAGTCGTTTTTTTCTAGCTGTACATTTGTAAGGTTAAAAAGTATAAACAAGACAGAAAAGTACAAAACATAAACCCTTCTCATCCCTAAAAGTAACCACCATGAACAATTTGTGGTCCCTTCTATGTTGTTGTTGTTGTTAAGTGCCGTCGAGTCGTTTCCGACTCATAGCGACCCCATGCACAGCAGAACGAAACACTGCCCGATCCCGCA